TGGCCCCTGCCCCAGCACCCGCGGCTGGGGCCGGGCTGCCAACTCACCGTCCAGTTGATGATCAGCTCGTTGGGAGCCCCTCCGCCTCCGCTGAGCCCAGATGGTGCCACAGTAGGTGCTGTCGGGTGCCCAAACAAAAGCAGACAGCACAGGTTGGGTTAAGGAAAGCGCAGTGATGGGGATGAGTGCAGCCACTGCGCGCTCTGGCAGCAGCCAGGCTGAGGCAGCTCAGCTGGGAAGAGCTAGTTTCAGCATTTTCAGCCATGAGTATTTCAGGTGTTTGTGACAATCAGGTCTGGAATACTGGTGAGTGCCTGATGTGGAGGCAGCATGGCTCTGAGGGGACAAGGATCAAGCTCAAAAGCAGGGATGTAGAGGAGAGCTCTTATCAGACAGGAGTTAATCTGCATTTCCTACGTTGAGAGCAGTTCCCTGCTGTTCTTACACCTTTCCCCTTCCTTGGAAATTCACCTTGTCTTTGCAGAGTTGTGCTATGTGGACCTCTTTCCCCTTTCTAGGCATGACTGCCTGGAAGGTACAGGATTTGAAGCTGGGTTTAATGGTTTAATATATTGTATCTAATGCAGGTGAAGGTAACTGACAGCTTTGTCTTTGACCTGTAAATGGGCAAAAAGGCAGAAAATGCTGTGATGGTGTCACCTCCAGGAGCACTCAAGGAGATGATTGTTTGGGCCCAAGGCATTCTGCAAGCCAGGCTTTCACCCTCCAACGTGAAGACAGAGGTACCTCTGATTCCCCTCTCCACTGCTGGCTGTATCTGCACGTACCTGCTTCCTTGGTGCGGATTTTGCTGGAGGGTAAACTGGGCTCCCCAACTCCCAGGATGTTACTGGCTAAGACGCGAAACTCGTAATCCATCCAAGGAATGAGGTTCACCACCTGGGCTGTCTCTGCGTTGCCTTCAATGTTTACAGGATCTATATAATCCAGCAGGACGAGAGGAGAACAAATAGAGCAAGTGGCAGGCAGTGCAGGAGCTGGGGGCCTGCAGGCAGCCCAGCTGTGCCACCAGTGCTGCCCGCCAGACACTTACTGGTGCGCATTTGCTTCCACTTGCTGGAGAGGAGGGTCCGAGCCTCGATGAGGTACCTGGCAATGGGGCTGTGGTTATCAAAGCCCCTGCTCCAGCTCAGTTGGACAGTGGTGTCACTGATGTCTCTCACCACCACACCCCCGGGGGGGCCTGGAGGTCCTGGGATGATGGGAGACAGATGGACACGTTGCTGAGATGAACGATTTGGAGGTTTATTGCTCTTTTATGTTGTGTGAGTCATTAATTAAAATCAGGCCTTTCTTTTCTGGGGGCTAGGAAGCTTCACCTCCAGTTTTGGCCTCATCAGGCTGTCCCATCCAGGTCAGATAGTAGGTTGCAAGCACCACGCCATTACTTTGGCCTTGTAAGGAGCAAGGGACCTTCAAACAAAGGAATTACCTCTGATAGTCAGGGTGGCTGACTCTGAAGCACTGTCCACAACAGTCTGGGCTGTGCACGTGTACCGCCCCGCGTGCTTCAGCTGGGCATTGGAGATGCTGAGGTCCCCAATAGCTTCCTTCTGCATGGGGAAGAGGAAGGACAGTGGGGAGAGCTTCAGGACACGCCCGATCACAATCCAGCATCCAGCAGCAAATAAAGACACTGCTGTGAGTTTTTCTGCCTCTTTTTGAGGGCATGGAATTGCCCTTTGTACTCACCAGGCTG